TAAAAAAAAAAAAAAAAAAAAAAAAAAAAAATACATCTATAATGAAAATTGTATAATAATAAGCATTTTAAACAAATATAATTCTCTTTTTTATGCTAAAAAGAGTATGAAATATAACAATACTACAATTATTTTTCTTAAAAATTATGTATTTAAAAATATGTGTATATTTAAATACAAATATTTTTTTTTTATATCTTTTTTATATCGAAACAAATATTAATATAGAATCAAAAAAAAAAAAAAAAAAAAAAAAAAAATATATGCATACAATCAAAAGTTTTTTTAAAATATTTAATATTATAGAGATGCAAAGAAAAAAAAATATATATTTAAATAAATTTTTTTTAGCTTTTATACAAAACATTCATTAAAAATTTTATATATGTATAAAAGGTTTATCTCAATATTAAAATATCTATAAAAAAATTAGTAAAATGAAAAAGTTAAAATTACTTGAAATTGCCATTACTGAAATGTAAAAAAAATATACATAATATTAATAATAAAAAAAGTGAATATATGGTAATATCACAATATGTTTCACAAATAAAAATTTATGTTTTTAAAAAACTATTAGTATTTAAATGTCTTATTTTTTTTATTAATTTCTGTGTTTCCTTATATAATAAAAAAAGAAAGTTACGCAAAATGCAAAATTAAAAATTATAACGAATTAATCTAAAACATAAAAAAATCCCAAATTATAAAATAATAAATGTACTATACTAATTATGCTAAAACATAAAAAAATCTTTTTTCTCTTTTTTTTAAAGATAATTTTACAAAAATTTTAAAAAATAACCATATTTTCTTAAAAATATATATTTTAAGTCTTATTATAACATTAAAATAGTTACCTTAAGAAAAAAAAAAAAAAAATATAAATATATGTATATATATAAATATATATATTTACATATATACATAAATACATAAGAATAATCCCTTATTAAAATCTTAAGCACGCTTTTAAAATAATAAAAATGAAAATTAAGTTAAAAATAACGAAAAAAAAAAATAAATGATTTTAAAATAGTTCCTTTAAAAACGTTTTTAATGTTACATTAATTCATATAGTATTATAAAAAAAATATATATATGTATACGTTTTTACAATTTAATAATTTTTTAACATAAGCATATAAGTGCAAACAATATAAGAATATGTTTTAGATATGTGGTTTTTTTGCTTCTTTTTTTTTATAATTTGAATTTTTTTCGGCTATATTTTGTATTATACTTTTAATAAACTAAAAAAACAAAAGAACAAAAAAAAAAAAAAAGCATGCATTTAAGCATGCATATAAAGTCAATTTAATACGAAAAAAAAAAAAAAAAAAAAAAAAAAAAAAAAAAAAAATTTATATCTATATCTATAAATATATATATATTAGATTTAAATTTAACTATTGAAAGAGAAAAGAGGGCCTTGGTTTTATGTTGTAATTAAAACAACAAAAATGAACAATATTATTGTTTAATAATTCATAAAAGAAAATTTTGATTGGTGATTAAAAATATTAAAGTAAAAAATAACATTTTTTATGATTTTTAATAAATCATGCAAAAATATTATAATTTCTGTTAAATATATATTTATTGGAACTTAATAAAGAATACTATATATGTTCTCATTATATCTGCAATACTCTATTCTTTTATTCATAAAAACTTAAAGTAGTGAAATAATAAGACCAACCACATTATAAAAAAGAATATCTGTATATCTATAAAAGTATTTAATTATTTAATCTATTTCATCAATTATAAATTTTTTTGATTTTATAATTTAAACATTTTTGCTGAATTCCTTTTAGTAGATTAATATTTATAATATAAAAATTTGTTTAATATTTTCAATTAAAATATATACACTTTAGGAAATTATTACTTATTCCTTCATTCCCATTATACAATTTAATTTTTAGATGCAATTAAAATTTTAGAAAAAAAAAAATTAAAGATACTATTGTGATTAGAAATAAATATATGATAAACTATAATTATAATTTATTAGATATAAAAATTATTTCTTTATTTTTGCACTTTTTTAAAAAAAAAAAAAATAATAATTTTGATTTCATAATTTCTATATTTATTTTATTTTATTTTTGGAAAAATATAATCTTTAAAATTGATATATAGGACTTAAAACACTATGAAAAAATGAAAAAATAAATCTATAAAAAAAAGCTAAATATAGTAAAGAAAATAAATAAAATGTATATGAATATTAAAAAACATAATAAAATTATGTTAATTTCTTAAATATAGAACTTAGGAGGATTATAAATAATTTTGTTTTATTTAAATATTAAAAAAAAAAAAATAAATAAATAAAAGTAAATTTAATGAAAAAAAAAATTTCTAAATGTCTTGAAAATAATAAAAAATAAACATCCATTTAAAAGGTGTAAATCCGTATGTATATATCTGAAATTATTACTTAAAATTTTTCATTTTTACAGAAAAAAAATTTTAGAAAAATATTATTAAATTATATACATATATATATATATAATTTTTTTTTTTTTTTTTTTTTTTTTTTTTTTTTTTTGTATATAAAAATTTGGAAAAATTTCACTATTTTTTTAAATTATATATGTATATATATATATATATATATATATTTTTTAAATTTCATAGATTATGAATATTGTAAACTTATGAAAAATTCAACGAAATTAAAAACGTTAAAAAGTTAAAAATAGTACATTATAAGTATATATATGATTTTTTTTTATCTTATGTAACTTTATGAGAATTTTTATTTTTTTTTTTTTTTAGGTAAATATATATATATATATATATAAAAGTTTTTTAACACATTAGAAACTTTTTATATTTTACGTTACTATAATTTGTTCATTTGTATGATTCCAATATATATTTGTTACATAAATATATTGGGAAAAAAAATTTATGTAGAAAAATTCTACTTAAATTTTGGTAAAAAATTATATTATTTCATTTAAGTATTTATTGAAAAAAAAATTTTTAAAATGAATAAAAATGATATTATAAAATATGAATAATAAATTAATATTATATTTTTGTTAAAAAAACATTTAGTTACAAGAAATAATTGTTTACTTAATAATTTATAGAGTATTTCCTATTTGGAAAAAAAAAAGGAAAAATTTAGCTTATATATTTATATATATTTTTTATGATTATATACAGAAAAATGTAATTATGAATATAATAAATTATTTATATAACAAAAGTAAAAATATATATAATAGAAATATTAATTTATATAATTATAATAATATCGAAAATGAAAATTTAATTGGTAATTTTGTTGACAATAATAATAGTCATAGCAGCTCATCTTTATCATCTTCACATATTTTAATATTAAATAAGAGAAACTTGAAAAAAAAAAAAAAAAATAATAAAATTAAAAGCAAAAATGCTGAAAAAAACGTAATTATAAATCTAACTAATGGTAGAAAAATTAAAGAAGAAACTATAAAAATAAATAAAAATGATAAAATAAAAAATGATGTTGAAGAAATATTGGAAAAATATAATATTAATAAAAATAGTTTACATAATGATAAAAATTTCAATAAAGAAAGTAAAAATGAGTTGAATGATGAATTTAATGCTGATTATATATCATTTGACAAAAAAGTTTATAAAAACAGATGTGATGGGATTTGCACAATAGATGATAACATATATATATTTGATAAAATAAAAAAATGTATTTATTTATATACACCATATAATAATATGTGGTATATTTTTTTAAATATATATGAAGAAATATCTATAAAAAAAAACAACAAAATTACCATTTCAAACTATGACATTAAAGATGATATAGAAAAAAAAATTGAAAATTATAAATACTTAAATAATATTTCTTTTATAAATTACACAGATGTGGTTTATTTAAATAGTTGTATGTTTATTATAAGTAGTAACACACAATTTATGAATATTTGCAAAGTTAATGTAAATAATATGAATACTATATTCAGTGCTATCGTAGTTGATTCTCTAAATAAAAACATAAAAAATTTTGAACATATATTAAATATGTTAAAAAAGAAAAAAGAAAGCTTTTCAGAATTATCTTCTGACGAAGATGAAATGATAAGAAAAGAAGAAGAAAAAAAAAAGGAAAACCATATATATAGTACTATAGATAATTCTAAAAGAAAAATAAATTTTTTTAATCATATCTTTTTTCAATCTGAACAGGAAATAAATAAGGATAATGATCAATTATCTGTTATCAATGAAAATGATAATTATGAAGAATATATCAATGGAGTTTCTGAAATTTATGAGTTTATACATGATGAAAAAAAAAATTATATAAAAAAAAAGAAAAGAATAATAAAAGCTAGAGATTTCTTTTCAATTTGTAGTGTTAATGAAGAATCTTATTCGCTGATTTATTTATTTGGAGGAAAAGGAAATACTATTAAAAAAAAAAATGAATATATTGACATTATTTATAATGATCTGTATGTTTATGATTTTTTTAAAAACAAATGGATTGAGTTACATCATTATAACAGCCAGAATGGTACAACAAATTTCTCTTATGAGAATTTGAATGATAATAAAAATGAAGATAGTTCTAAAATAAATAAGAGTAATTTTTTTTTTGATTTAAATAGAAATGAAAATTTTATGAAATGTAATGAAAAAAAATTTATTGGTGAAAATTATAATGACACTATAGAAGGTAATAAGGATAATTTAACCTTATATTCTGTTAACAGTATTTGTAGTAATGAAAATAATTTTAACAAAATAAATGAAAATATGAATGATAAACATGAAAATGTTAATAATTTTTACAATAATAATGTAAACGGAACATGTAGCAACAAATATATAAATAAAGAATTAAATGGAAATTGTAAATTTAAGAAATATAACAATAATGAAGATATATGTGACCTTATTTTTGATTCTATCAATATTTCAAATGTTCAAGATAAAAATATAGGTTGTGAAAGTAGTAATAACAATAATAATATAAAAAACAAGGAGGTAAGTAAAAATATAAAAAAAATTAGTTCAATTGGAGAAAAAAATAATTCAAATTATGAAAGAAAAGATGCATTTTGCTTTAAATGCCTAAATAATAAAAAATGTACATATATATGTGAGTTAATAAAAAATAATATAAATATAAAAAGTATAAAATGGTTAGGTAAAAGGGCAGGACATTCATGTATTTATTATAAAAATAATTTATATATATTTGGAGGTATTAATTATTATAGTTTTAATAGTAACAGAATAAATTTAAATTTTTGTAATAACTTATATTTATATAATATAGAATCAAATAAATGTTTTGAAATAATTGGAAAAGGTACTTTGCCTGAAAAAAGATATAGACATAGTTGTGTTTTAATTAATAATTATATGTTTATAATAGGTGGAGAATGTAAAAATTCTACTCTTCCTAAAAATGATATTTTTTTTTATAATTTTTCTAATTCAGTATGGTCAGAAATTATAATTAATTCAAAAATTAGTTCACACTCCTTATATAAGACAGTTTGGCTAGAAAACTTTGGTTCTATTTATATGTTTGGATCTTCCATATTAAGGTTAACAAAAAAAAATTTTCAATACACTCCTTCTTATAAAAATAAGAAAAAAATAATTGAAAATCAACATTTTTAAAAGATAGAAATTTAATAACGGAATTGTAAAAAGAAACATTTATATGCCTTTTTATTTACCGAAAAAATTAAGAAATATAAGTAAATTAACTTTTTTTTTTTCTCTCTTTTTTTTTTTGATTCCTTTGTTGCAAAATTTTGTCAGCAAAATATTTTGAATTTTTTTTTTTAATTTTCTTAAAATATTCCAGTATATATGATCTTAAATGATTTTCATTATTATATATATATTTATATTTATATATTTTCTATAATTTATTTAACAATATAAACTTTAACTATGGTATGATGTCATTTTAATTTATTTAATCTTATTTTAACTAAACATTTTTTATTTTTATTTTTTTTTTTTTTCCTTTTCATATAAATATTATTTCTTTATATACTACTTTATTTATTATTTATTTATTTATTTATTTTTTTTTTTAAATTACTAAAATCATGAAAAATTTTTAATTTAAATCCTTATTTTTTTTAAATGGTAGACAATTTTTATTGCTCAGAAATATTACTGACTTTTTTTTATTTTAACTGCTTGATTAGTTCAAATTCATATATTTTTTAATATGCTTTGTAAATAGCTAAAAATATATTGGATTTTTATACATTATTAATTTTATTATTGTTATTATTTTTTTTTTTTTTTTTAGTTTCATTTAGTTAAACTTTACATAAGTACATAATTATCATTATTTATACTTTATTTTATTTAGAAATCTTTATCTATTTATACAAGTATTTGTTTTAAATTATGAAAAATTAAAGTAAAAATGTCAATAACACTAAAAATACATATGAATTTTATTATTAATTCTTTTTTTTTTTTTTTTACGAATAAATATCTATACATGTGTATTTTCCATTTTATGTGTTATATTAATGAAAAAAAATTTATTAAAAATTAAACAAAAAAAATTAAATTTATATTAAAAAAAAATTTAAATGATTATATATATTTTATGTATAAATATAAAACATATATCTAGAAATTACACGAAATAAATATGATTAAAAAATGAAAAAAAAAATATATTTTATTTAAAACAAATAGACATCAAATAAAAATGAGAGTATTAAATAAATTAAGTTTTTGTATTTAATAAATATGTATGAATAATGAAATTAATAACAAAATTTTATGATGTTATAAAATGTTGTTATATTTAATAAAACTTGCTAAACTAAAAATAGGAAATGTATGTATTTTAGTAAAAATTGTTCTTAGTGTTTTAAATTTCTTTTACACATATATATATAAGTGAGATACATTTATTTATCAAAAAAAAAAAAAAGAAAAAACTAAGAATTAATAAAATTACTTTTTAGATTCATGTAGTTTAATTGTACATAAATCTATATTATTCTTAAAAGTAAACCAATCTATTGAATCATTAGTATTATTATATTTTTTAAAAAAGGAGAATGATTTTTTTTTATCATCTTTCTTTTTTTTTTTATCGTTCTCTTTCCATTCATTGAATGTGTTTAAAATATCATCAGCAGTTATATATTCCTTACCTGATGAGAAGCAATAAAAACAACTTTTTAAAACGTCTTCATTTATTTCTTGATGCTGAATATATTTTTCTACTTTTTTTCTTATCAATGGGGAATCCATATTTTTACTTAAACCTTTTTCAAATAAAAAAATATTATATGTTGGAAATAATGAATCTTTTGGCCATTTAAATCTTAATTTTAATAAAGAATTTTTAAAATCTGTAAAATTCATTTTACCATATTTTGAAAAATGATCAAACCATAAAACTTTATTATAATTATTATGGTCATTATTTTTAAAAAAGAAAAAGAAATTTTTAAATAAATCACTATATTTTTTTTTTTTCTCTCCATTTACATTTATAATTATATTTAATGATTCATAATTAGAATGTTCAGCTAGCCTTCCATATACTTTTATCAAATCTAAAACATCATAATTTAAAATTGGGTTATAAGTACTGTAAATTGGTTCATTATTATAATATTTAGAATAAATATTCTTATTACTTTTTAAGTAACTTAATTTTCTTTGATTAATGTGTAATAATGGACGTTTTATATAGGTGTATATTTTGTGCTGTTTATAATTTAAGGAATACAAATGTAAAATTTGAAGATGTTTGATCGTTATTCTTTCATTTAATTTAAAAGGCAATTGGTTCATTTTTATTGATTTTACAAAAATAACTTCATTTAGAACGTTAAAAAATATAATTATAAATGAATAATACCGTGACATACTTAAAAAAAAAAAAATAATAATTAAGAGATAGTTACATTAATATATAATTATATACATTTGATATTTCTGCATTAATAATTTTTAAAATGTAAATATTTTTTTTTTTTAAGAGTAATATTATGTAATTTAATATAGTTTTATTTCACTCTTAAAAATTATAAAATTTTAATATTGTATATTTTTTCTTCAATTTCTACGTTTATCATAATTTTCAAATCATTTATTGCTATATTAAAATAATTAAATTTTATAGATTCACATGAGTAAATTAAAATGAAAGAAGGTAAAACAAAAACAGTAACTGCTTTTTTTTCTTTTTTTTTTTCTTAATAATTATTTTAATTTTTCTTTCTATTTCTTTATATATATATATATATATATATATATATATATATATATATATATATATATATATATATTTATATATTTTCCAAAAATATAACAAAAAGGCTTAGAAAAAATATATTTACAAAAACCTGAAAAATACACAATTTTCCAAGATGTACATTAATTTTTAACTAATAATATATATATATTTCTTTAATATTTTTTTTTATACTAAATAATATTATCAAATTGATAAATAATATATTTTTATAATAATTATTAGTAATTTTAATAAGTGTTTATAGCGTAAAAAATGATATATTTAATAATTTAAACTAATAGATTAAGTATTTCAAATAAAATTATAAGAAGTTTTATTAATGTATATATATATATCTCTTTTTGCACAACTATTGTGAATAAAAACAAAAATTATCACATAACTAGTTTTTTTTGTTTAAAATTTTAAATACATTTTTTTTTCTCCTATTTTTTTTTTTTTTACTATTTATATGAAAGTGATGAATTCATAATATAATAATGTAAAAAAAAAAAACATAAATGTGTTTTTGTTATTATTATTTTTATTTATATAGGAAATTCTGTATATCTCCTAAAATTTAAAATTATTAAAATATATTAAATTTTATTGTGGGTGATTAATTTGATTAGTTTATTTTTATGTTTTATTTTTACACAATTTTTATGTCGTTTTAAATATCTATAAAAAAAATATTTTGTAATCATATGTTTTTTATTATCATTTATTTACAAAATATACATAAATACTTTTATAATATTTTTACAAATATCATAAATGACATATACACAAAAGCATACAAATTTTTAAATTTAAGTATTAATTAAGATAAATGAAAAAATAGAGCATAAACAGTTTGTTAATATTTAAAGAATACATATGTAAAAAGAAAATAATTTTTTTGCATGTTTTTAGAAGTCTATGTAAAAGTAATAGAAGAAATTATGTTCGTAATGTTATACATAACATATAGTAGTAAATTTTATTGAAATATAGGAATAGTTATACATTAATAATTAATTATTTCCCCCTTATATTATTTTAGTAGTAATAAAAAGAAAAAAGTTTAAACAGAAAGATAAAAATACCTTATAGGATATATTTTTCTATATTATAGAAACTGCAAACACTTTATTACTTAAGTAGTTTATATGTTAAAAAACAAAACAAAATTATTAGAGAGAACAATGTGATGTAGTTTATTAAGAAATATGAAAATAAAATGTGTGTGCACTATTTTTAGTCATTTTATTATATTCTTTTAACTTTGATATATATATGTATATAATATTCTTTTTCATCGTTTATAACTAAATATTCAAAAAAAAAATAAATTTAAGATAATTATTTTTTTAAAAAATATAATAAAAAAATTTAATTTATATAATTTTAATAAATCAGTAATTAATGTTTGTATTTTTGAAAAGGCACTTTAATGGTATTATACAAATATATATTTAGACACATTATGTATATTATTATTACATATAAATATATTTTTTTTCAGTGAATTTTTATTTAATTTGTAAATAATCACATTCCTAGATTTGTCAAATTTGCAACTATAAATATTATATGTATTTAGCATATTCTTGATTAGAATAAACTTTTTTTTTTTATTATTTTAAATATATTAATTTAATAGTAATAATGAATTTTAAAAAAAAAAAAAAAAAAAAAAAAAAAAATTTTAAATAT